CACACACCACTGCTGCTAACATCGACAAATGACCGGCACCCACCACAGCACAGAGTCCACACATGCTGTGTTTCTGTGTTTTGCAGTGGTAGCCCGGAGACAAATTGACTGAAGGTCCGTCTCTGGAGCTGCTGTTCACGTTCCTCTGGGCAAAGTCCTCCCTGAGTGACGGGGAGTGAAGCAGAGGAACAGCATGGTGGCTAACTAATTCTTGTGTTATTTATGGTCCAATAAAGAGTAACTTCATGCTTCTTAAAATTCTCTAACTCTGACAAATTGATTGCTAGCAAATGTAGCATAATAGGCCTACTGTATAGAGTGGATAATATCAGCTAATTCATCCAGACTCCCGGGGCTGGTTAGCAAATTACTTAATCAGCTATGAAGCAACTAATGACAAATCCATGCAACCAACAGCAGATCAATGCAATGTAGCTAAGTTGCAAGTTACAGGTCACTTAGGTAACTAATCGTAACCTAAGTGAATGTTAGCCAGCAAGCTGTAAAGCTAAGCTGCATGAATCTGCTGTCAGTTGCTTTGTAACGTCAGCTGATAAAGTAATTTGCAATTGGCACTCTAGTTAGTATCATGGAGGCAATGGCTCAAATGAATATAGGAACATACAGATAGTGATGTTTTTCTAAATATGATTGTAATTTATTTTCCAGGTTGTTATCAACATGCTGGTCAATCAAGGTCAGTCTTGTAAGTCACCACTGTGGCTGATGCAGGTGCTCACTCGCGGCTGACCTCAGTTTACTTAACGGTCTCAGAGAGACGTTTCATTAACAACAAGGATCTTCTAAAAGTTACATACAGAATCCACAAAACCTGCTGTATTCCACCTGCTCTGCACCACCTGGCAGACATTAACCCAGAGTATTTGGGAGCCATGGGGGTTTGGGTCCCCAGGGAAGTTGCCCACCTCGCCCTGTTGTGAATCCAGCCTGACTCCCACCTGTGATCTATACACACATTCGTGCACGTACGCAGAGAGGACAATGGCAGCCCACGCTTACCGATGTGCAGCCACACATGCGTAGCCACCCACAGTCAGACAGACAGATAGGGAAACACTTAACCGGTGTCTCACCACAAACACACACACAGACAAAACCGACACACCCCGCCATTCACTGTCCTGGCCTTGTTTACTCATGACCATCACAGCTCTGCAGCACTCAACCCCATCATTCCACAGATTCCTGTGTCCCAGCACTATTTTATGAGCCTTGCAGAGAGACTTGCGTTTTTTCTGTGCTTATCTAACACAGCAGTCACACAGGCATTAATCATTAATGCTGACTAATGAAATGAAAGTGAATGATGGTGACAGATACTGCGGGGGCTTGGAGCAAACACATCAAATATTAAGATTTAAAGCTGATGTTTTTACATATTTCTGTCTGTTTTTTGCATTTTAAAATGTGAAATCTAATTGTTCTGAATGCTGTCTTGTATTGAGGGCCACACTGCAGTGACACACATTTGACTGAAACTGAACTGATCATGAAAACTGGGACCAACTGGAGTTTAAAAGGTAAAAGTGGCCTCAGAGGGCGTTTATCTGTGCAACACCGCCATCTGTAGACCATCAACACTGACTCTGATTGCTCAACACTCCCTCATTTTCTTTGCTTAATTGTCTTATTGTCAAGTTCGGTGTTACATAACAAGAATAAACAAAAGACGAGTTATGATTTGTTTGACACAGAGAAGCAGAGCGTGTCTGGCCAAAAGGTAATTTTCTTTATTTACTTTATTCTTTAAATGCTTGGTTTCCTCCCACAGGCCGAAGATAGGCCAGGTGCACTGAGTGAACTCTAAATTGTTTGCTAAGTGTGGATTTGTTTGTGTTGCGTTAGAGCCCAGTGACAGACCAGTGACCTGTCCAGCACGCTGACCTTGTGACCCTGCACAGCAGTAAGCAGCTACAGAGACTGGACAGATGACTGTACAGTGGATTTCACGCAGTCCTTCGGATTCAGATAAGCCATATTAAAAAGAAAACATTAAAAACAATGATTTGATGATTTTGATTTGATTTGATTTGAAAATTGATCCCTTTTTTTTACTTCACTTATTGACTCCATAACTTTTGAAATATATCTAAGTTAGTTAATGTCTCAGTTTTGTTTAACTTTGAATAACAAATTTAAGGACAGACATTACGGGTGAACAGAGTAAGACTTTTAACTAAAAGACGTCAACATGAAACTTCCCTCGTCGATTACTCACATGAAGACCTTTTTTTTTTTGTTTACAAGTTTCCTGAAATTTTATGTTCAAATGTGCAAATATGTATTATCTACCAACTAACTAACATTTCCAGAACAGAAATCTGAACATTGGAAAAGGTCAGGTTCAAAACTCATGTTTCATTTTGTTGATATATGTAGAGTCAAAGGTTTTTGCAGAGCAAATCTCTTTTTATCACTCGATAAATCACAAAATACTATCAACAGACAAGTTTTTAGCAAAAATAAAAGTTATATAAATCAGGCTATGAATGATAAAAGAACAAATCCCTTGCTAAAAGCATTCCAAATATAGATAGGAATAAAACTGGGAGGTTTGGTCTATGTAAGTGCTACCAAAGTGGTTTAAGATTTGTCTTGCAAAGTTCCATAAATTCTTACAACAAAAATGTGACACTACAGGTTGTTAAACAAACAGATAATCCATTGCTCATTATTATTATCATTTATTGCTGTTACTTGTATTTTTTGTACTTTTTTGCATGCCTAGTTTTTTAAGTTTTTAAATTTTGAAATCTTTGATCTGACTCTTTCCCCTTGACTGCTGTAACACTGGAATTTCTCAATTATGGGATCAGTAAAGGTGTATCTTATCTTATCTTATCTTATCTTAGATATCACCATGAAATGAGTTTTCCAAAACGTTAATATTAAATATGCACTTTTTGCATTAATTTTCACAACAAAAATCTGAAGTAAAATAAACACCTAAATGCGTATTTTCAATGTTTTCTTTCCACTACTCTGAAAAAAGACATGTTGTGGAAGCAAAATAGCCCAAAATCTTAAGACTGACCAGTGCATGAAAAAGTGTTTTGACCTGTAAGTATCTCCACAGTGCTGCCTGGGCCTTTGTGCAAATCTCAAGTCTTTAACATGAACATGAGAGAAAAATAATGCCATCTAGTGACAAACCCTGGAGCTGCACAGGCTGACAAACTCAGAAATGAATCATCTGTCATAGTATATCAGCAGACATGATGGTTTTACTTCACTGTAGGGACATTCTTTTTTTTTAAGCACTCCATCCACATAGACACAGTAATGAGTAACAGCTAAAACAAACAAACAAAAAAATCCATATGTCAGCAGTCAGATAACAATTCACTGTCAAAAAGAGCTGAGACAGATGTGTTCTACTGTTTATTAAAATTATCACAATGTCATACGATAAATTCAATGTTTTATATCTCCTGCTGGAACACACATTTGTTGTTGTTGTTCATCACAGTAAATGGTTCACCATAGGGTAAAAGTAAGTGTTGGGGACAGGTCAGGGATATTTTGATCTACGTAGACCCAAGGGACCTTCTGATTCTTTTACTGCATTAAGTAACAGTAATCAATGCTCTGTAACCTCTTTCACTGTATCATGTTCAGTTCATGTAATTATCTGTAAACAAAGTTACCTATACACTTCAACAAGACAACAAAAAAGGACAAGACAAAACTACATATACGCCTATCATGTAACAAGCAACAAAGACATTAAAGAACAGTAAGGTTAATAGTAAATAAGCAGATAAACCGCACACAAAAGGGTCAAACTGCTTCTTCTTTTATTTAGTCGTCATTTTTCACTTTCTTTATTGTGCACAAATTCATTTAAAGAAATACAAACAGATACATAGACAACAAAAAATAAAGCACAAAATAAAAAGACAGATGCCAGAGTTTTTGTTATGCATCATATTATAATCATTTAATGAATTAAAGGTCTTAATAACTTTTTTGGTCTTGATATTGATAATATGGTGCTATACTGTTGATATTAATTTATAAAGTACATGAAAGTTGGTTTGGTTTCTGCATTCTTTACAATGAATATGGAATTTTCCAAAAATAAGAAAGAGTTGTATGTTAAATGTTAAGTTTCTTCTTTAGACAGTTGGCAATATCAAACCAAAATATTCATTTATACAATGAAAAAATTAGTGAGAAGTGAGAAATATTCTCTATTTCCAGACCACAGAAATTGCACTTTTTAATAATATTCAGCTTGAATCTTCCTGGCACAAGCTTTATCAGGTAGAATTTTTGTGATATCCTGAAAGATACTTCCTTAAACTTGTTATTTATACAGTATTTAAGATAATCACAAAATGTCCATGCTCTCTCCCACTGTATATGATTAAATAAGGAAGACCAAAAACATCTAGAAGAAGGGATAGTGACATGAGTTATTGTGTTCCTGATATTTTTGTTTGAGCCTTTCTCTTTTAATATATTGTATTATTATCATTACAGGGTGTCTACAGGTATGATACAGTTAAATTTAATGCTTTTTAAGACCCTTTCAAGACACCTTTTAACCAAATTTAGGACAGATTTTTGGACAAATCATGTTTACTTATGTAAACATTGCATGTAAGTATGTGGTCTGTGCAGACGTAGATGTTATGTGGGAATGTGTTTTTTTATTATAGTATTTTAAAAGATTTGTAACATTAGCAAAGTGGACTTTTTCACAAAAAAGAAATGAAAAATGGATAAAATAAGATAAAATGTTTGTAGCAGTTAAGACTTCGCAAATTCAAATTTAAGGCTATTTAATGACTTTTAAGGCAATTTTGTTATAAGATTAAATTTAAGACATTTAAAGACGTTTTAAGAAACTGCAGACATCATTTATTATATTATATTTTTCACACAATCCTAAAAACTAACAGGGAGATCTACAGCACCTCAATGATGCACTCACTTCGCCTGAGGCAGGGTGGGGCACTGTTGCGCAAGTCGTGGCGCTGTGACGTCATAAGTCTGCGCCACGTCCACTCTGACATTTTCAATGACAGTTTACACAACTTTGTTTTACGTTTCTTTGATAACGCGGGTAGTTAAAGCATAAAATGACTACCATGCACAGAGCCGCGCGGACAGCATTACATGGCTGGTCTAACGCAGTCGGCCCTGCGATGATCCGCCAGTGTTTAAAACGCAGAGGTAAGCAGGAGGTTACAGCAGACACGGCTAAGAGCTAACATGCTACACATGCTAAAAACACTTAACACGAGCCATGTGTAGTTTTTTTCCACAACTACTCGTCCTTTCCTTTGTGTTCAGGATGTTTAAAGTTATGAGTCACCGAATAACGAGCGTTTCTGGTCATTATGTTTGCTAACAGACTTGTATGCTAACAAGCTAACTCCGCACGGACATACTATAAGTAGCCCTGAAGTCTTTAAAAGTAAAGGATCCCTTTTGGCATCAGTGTGTGTTGTTGATGTGTAACCTCAGGCTGTTTATATAATAGTGCCCCTGCAGCTGAGCTCACGCGCGTACAGTGTGGTCCCGACCCCGTGCGACAGTGAGGAGAAAGAGATGTTGGACCGAATCCTGCGCGTGGACCACGCTGGTGAATACGGAGCCAACCGCATCTACGCCGGCCAGATGGCAGTGTTGGGCCGATCTAGCACCGGGCCTCTCATCCAGGTATGGACACAGGGCGGCACATGACTCAGAGGAAGGACAGAAGACTAAAATGCATCACTGTTCTTTGACCTGCACATGACACCAGTTCATATTGATGGCTCCAAATGACAAAAATATTTGAAAATAGTCCAATACCCAGAAATCACAGAAGAAACTCAGTTTTACTAATGTGGCTGGTTTGAGATGATTTCTACTGATGGAATCCTAATGGTTGAGTCCAGGTCTCTCCTGAGGAGGAGATGCTGTTCAGTACAAATATGAAATTCACTCTGCTTTTACAGACACTGGTGGATGTTAGGATCATCTGACACTAGAATTTGATTTGCACAACAGGGTGTATTTAGGTAGTTAACTCTCTGAGACCTGCAGGGTTGCTGGTGATTCAGGCTGACATCCCTGTCTTTCCGAGGCTATAGAGGGCTGAGTTTTAAAGCTGCTACTGATACTGGTTTCATATAAAACTAGAAGACCTGATGAATCCAGTTATTCCAACCATGTTATGCTAGCTTCCAAGGAAAAATAATGCTCCAAATGCTTATTTTTGGCAAGGGAAACACAGCATGGCCATTTTCACAGGGTCTCTTGACTTCTTATCTCAAGATATCTGGATGGAAATAGATTCTGTGGGTACCCACAAGTCTCCTCCTGACAGACATGCCCACTTTGATAGTTCCATACAGTTTTGTGCAATCAACCTTTTTTTTTAACAAAGGTTTAAAATCATCATCATAATTTTTGACACATTGTGCTCATGTGTGTTTTTCTTTAGGAAATGTGGGATCAAGAAAAGAAACACCTCAATAAATTCAATGAAATTCTGTCTGAGAACAGAGTTCGACCCACAGCGCTGTTACCCCTCTGGAACATTGCTGGGTTTGCATTAGGTTGGTACAGCCCATAAGCATACAGTTATAGGATTGTAACTCATTTTGAAGAACAAAACAAATGCATGAAATCCATAAAATAATATAATAGGTATAATATAATATAATGTAATATAATATAATATAGTGTAATAATAAGTTGAAGTTGTAACTGCTGTTGGAGTACAGTAAAATGTTGTGATTATGTTGCATTTGTACACCCACATATTATAATATACACAGCCAGGTGTTGCTTAATGGAATCTCAGAGTTGAGTTAATTTCGTTTGAAATTTCCTCCAGGTGCGTCCACTGCACTGTTTGGAAAAGAGATGGCCATGGCCTGCACTGTGGCGGTGGAGGAGAGTATTTCCGAACATTACAACAGCCAGATCAGAGCTCTGATGGAGAGGGACCCCGAGCGATACACCGAACTGTTACAAGTGAGTCTGCCACTGTTTTCTCTCTTAACACTGCAACTAACATTGACAAAGGCTTGATTGGCATTTTATTGCTTGGAAATGAGATGAACACACATAGTCAGAGCTCAAGAGTGTTCTGAAGGTCAAGAGTTTTCCCATTTGTTTCAGATATTCACTCAACACAAGGGTGTCTTTTTTAAGAGTGATTTCACCTGTTACTTTGCCTGATCATATTACATAAAATATTTGGGCTGCATGGTTGGTTCAAGAAGCTAATATGAAAGGAAATAGAGAAAATAGCTTCAGTTTTTGGAGAAGTTCGGAGCAATTTTCACATGTGAGCTATATTAATAAGACACGTTTAAAAAGTAGTGCTTTAAGAGGAACAAGAAAGACTAATCATGACTCAATGACTTCTGGGTAGACAATCCCAGCGCCACGTACATAAAATGAAATTTTGCTGCTTCTGGTTAGTTTTTAGTCATTTGAAAAAGGCCACCCTTAAAAAAATCAGTATCAGTTAAAGTGTACGCTATATTTATAATATTTTCACACCTTTACCTTGTTGTCAGACAGTCTTTAGAAGCCACCAGACTCCCCTGACGAAAGCAGTAATAATACTAAGCAGAATACCCAAGAATTGCCGGTCTGCCGCTATCTTGATTGATTAAAGGTAATGCAGAGAAAATATTCTTTTCTTTTTTCTTTTTTCTTTAAAGATTTTTTTTGGGCAGTTTTTGCCTTTAATTGATAGGAAAGTCGAGTGTGAAGGGGGAGAGAGAGAGGGAGTGACATGCAACAAAGGGCTACAGGCTGGAATTGAACCCGGGCTGCTGCGGGAACAGCCTTGTACATGGGGCGCCTGCTCTATCCACTAAGCCACCAACGCCCCAGCAGAGAAAATATTCTAAATATAGTGTACACTAATACTGATTTGTTTTAGGTGGGTCTTTTTAGGTGGCTAAAATATGTATTGCTGCAGCCCCCATCCAAGGAAGTACATAGCCAAGCTTTGATGCTGATGAATTTAGCTCATCAAAGATGCAGGCAAAGCAACATTGGTCATAAAATAAGTGCAGTAGAAACGTCAGACAGGGTGGACCACCATGTTTATTTTTGATCATTAAATTTACAGCTGAAAGTAACAGAAATAAAGTTTGCCTATTTAACATATCTCCACAAATGAAATCAATTGCAAGCTGTTTACCAGGAAGTGACTGTTATTGCTATTAGTGCAGCATTACTATTATTTGGTCTCACATGTTCTTGTTGCTGGCCTTTTATTTTCTGAATAGGCTTGATTATTTAATGAATGTTCTTGGGGTTCTATTTTAACAGATTATAAAGGAATTCAGAGATGATGAGCTGGAGCATCATGACACAGGACTGGAGCATGATGCAGAATCAGTGAGTATATTTCACTTTTCTTTCACTGCACAATCCAAACAAATTCTTTGATTCCACAAAAACATGATCAGAGGGCTCCCTATTGTATCAAAGTACACTAAAATAAATCAAAACACATAAATATCAGTAGACTTATGTTAGTTTGTATCTGTCCTTGCAGTTTTAATGAATGCCATGTAAAGTGCTGCAATCTAAAAGTGTTTTATTTGTTTTTTGTTTTAGGTACCTGGATACTGGCTACTAAAAAATGCAATACAGCTTGGCTGCAAAGCTGCAATATATGCCTCTCAGCGGGTCTAACGTCGTGTTTAGAACAGTTAAGAATTTTCACTGGTGGATGTTTGTTATGTGGACTCAATTTGTATAAATGATTTGAACTTGAATGGAAGTTTCTGCTCCATTGTAAATTAACATATATCTTCGTACTATTGCAAGATGTAAAGGTTCTGTATGCGACATTCGGAGCATTGATAGCAGCAAACCAGTATTTTCTCTGTAAAGATATAGTGGAGTAATGGCGACCTGAGCAGAGAATGACGTCACTCTACCTCTGCGTGAGCTGTAATTCGAGCTTCTCTGTGGTTTGTTGTGGTAAGCCGGTCCAGCCATGCATGCCTGTTAATGCATGGGTGTATTCCTCTGGCTAGCTCATTGCTTCCACTTTGCACTGTGGTCAGACAGTGGTTACCACTGATTTTTGCTGACAGCTGCATCGCATAAGTGTAGCGCCTGGTTAACACTGTTAGCTCTGTCAGCACTGCTGCCATTGTTTAGTGCTGTTCATGGATTTAGCACTGTTAGCTGCTAGCTGCCAGCTCAGCCACCTCCATGTTGAGAATCGTTTTCAGACATCTCATATGCTTTTAATTTCACATAGAGCCACTTTAGTCTTGTATACAAACATTCAGTTATCTGCATTAACCAAAATTTTACTGCTTTGTACAGTGTATAATACATGGACTAGGGATATCCCGTTCTGATCTCATAGATTGGTAACAGGACTGATCAAGTAATTTTTTTTAACCGATCAGGATCAGCCAGATTATTTAGCGCAGTCCGATCCTTTGTTTTGTGTCAGCTGTCACACTGGTGCTTTTTTTTCATGAAGCTTTAATGCGCAGCGATAAACAGTGGAACCGTCGTCAACTCTTCAACTCTCTGCTGTCTGTTTGGCTGTCCACTCCGTGTGTGTGTTAAGAGCGGGGGCTGAACCCCTCTTGCAGTGAAACACCACACACCATAAAGACAACAAAACACAGCACGAGACTGTTTTTCAACACAGACACTCACAACACCACTTGAAGTGCAACAAAAGACCTGCGAGCAAACTGCCAGTAAGAGTAATTTGTGAATTTAATCTGCACAAAAGATGTACAGATGGCGAAAATAAAAACTCAGTGGAATACCATTCATTCCATATGGTCATTGGTTTATTCAGGTAACTCAGGGAAAAGCTGCACCAAAGCAACAAACACTGGAGAGTAGCCTACTCTCTTTAAGGGACAGAAAAAGTCCCTCAAGATGCCGACAGGGCCAAAAAGATAAAATAATGGTGGTTGGTTTGTTGATTTATACTTCATTTTGTAAAAAAAGGCATTTTTTTTAATGCATTGCAGAGTCATTCAGTTGTCAAGCATATACATTGGATTGATTTTAGTCACTTAAGTGTACTTTAAGTGTGCACTGTGCAGCTGTGTTAACTAGGACAATATAAATATCAGATAGGGACTCGGAATCGGCAGATACTACCTACTGAACGACTTGGAATCGGGCTAAAACACTTGATCGGGACGTCCCTATCATGGACTGTTTTAATCGGTGGAGGTAACCACTCCTGAATTAAATAGCAGATCTCTACACTGTTGTGTCAGCGTAAATCCTGTCTCACTTTTTTGTTGCAGTGCTACCCCTGAGAGGCAGCCTGTCTGATAAATGATGCTGGTGTGAAAATTGGTTAAAAGAAAAAAAAAAGACTTTTGCATAAACAAATGGGAGTTAACAGAATAAATACTCCAATTAACAACTATGTGATCTTATTAATGTTTGTTTCTTTGATATCTGAGTATTCTAGTTTCCTGACAGTGCAGCAGTTGACAAAAGACAACCATCTTACGCTTGCCGTTCACCAAAACGAATACCTAAAATACTGTAATGAGTACATATTGTAACGAGCATACACAGCCATCATACCCTTCAACAAACTCTCCTGTTTCACATGTTATAGTTCATATATCAAGCTGAGCAATGAGTTGTCATCCTGGCCTAACTGCTAAGCGCCCTCACACAGCTGTTCTGGGACATTGGGTCACTGAGAAAGAGGGATTGACTCAGGCTTGTCCAGGGGCCCCTAATCTATTAGGCCTTTCAGCAGGTTGAGCAAAGTGTTCATTCCCCTCCTAGTCAATATCAGTTTGTCCTCACTGTACATTGAGCACTGACCCAAGGCCTCTTTACCCGTGGTTCAGCCTTTTCATGCACCGGGGACATGATGATGTTGTGATTTATGGGCAGTGGTGGGGGCTGATAGGACTTAAATGAAGTCCTTTGATGGTAATTTGTCTCTCTGCTCTAGCAAGCAATAAGGTGGCTAAATTGAAAACCTCTCACTATATATGAACACAGGTAGGTGACAAATGAAAGGAAAAACCAACATAATGTATCAAAAGGTTGGGCCACCATGAGCTGCCAGAACAGCTGCAATCTAAGAGTCTGTGGAAATCGGGACGACAACAATATTCCAAAAAATACTCCCGCATTTGGTGAAAATCTGGCGACTGCAAAGGCAACTGCATAGTGATTCATTCTACCACTGAAAGAATTAGCCCATTATTCAGCTGATCGACAGAAAATCAATTTGCAGCTATTCTGATTATTAGTTCAAGTACTTTTTGGCAATACTAGCAGCGTTGGCACTGCCAGTGGAGTGGTTGGCCGGTCTGTTGATCTAAAGTAGGCTGCCAAACAAGTTGAACTAGAACATGTATTTCCTACAGAAAATGTGTGTGAGTGCTAGCAGCTAAAAATGCTAGAAAGCACTGCTGGAAATGCAGGGATCTTAATGCACAAAGGCACTGCTGAAAACGCTGGACACTGACATGTATATTCTGCAGAGTTGGAAGCGAAATTGAAAGAGCTAAACATTTTGATAATTGAATAGTTTCTGTAGCTGAAGGTATGCGGAAGTACTGTAGCTGGATGCCGAAAAAAGGCGGAAAAGGATGAAGATTCAGATAAACATAGCGTGGACGCTGAATTAGCATCCACCCAAAAATCTCAACAACCATTGCATGGATTGTCATGTTGAACCCCTTTCCCCCCAAAAAACCACTACTACCCTCTAACATCTGGCTTCTAAATTTAAAGGGAACGGTTACCTTTAAAGGAGAAGTCTGGTATTTCGCACTTTGAGCCCCATCTCTGGGTTGTTTATGATGAAATAGAGTGGTTAAGACCAAACTTCTGACGATTGCTCCTTTTTGGAGAATTTGGCTTTCCCCTGCCTGGCTTAACAGTGCTGCCTATGGCCATGTGTGAACCTGTCCTAAAACCACCCTAAATGTTCGTTTTCAAAGCCATGAAACTCACCGAGTGGTCAGTGGTGTTCGTTGATGTTCTGACATAAAAATCGTAGCAAACTGTGGTTTCCATCCGTGATGGTTTATTTGACATTTTGTGTAATCCATTGGCTTTCTATAGGCAGCCTCATTGTTCGTTGGTAGTAATCCACCACCGGAAATGGAAAAGGGGTTGTTTACAGCAAGGTTTTAGTCATTGTAGTCTTTTAGCTGAGTGAAAGTGCCGGCTCGACAGTGCTGTGTGCGCTCCTGGAGGAAGAACGAGAACGAATGAAAAAGTTTTGTAATAGGTTTAAACAACTGCACAATGGATTACTCGCTTGTAAACAACCTTCACAGTATGATGCCTTTGAACACAACGCCAACCTTCTTCTGCTTCTTCTCTGTGTCCCATTACATTGCCATGGTTTCCTCCTGGTTGGCGACACCCACGTAAAGGAGCATTATCGCCATCTAGTGGGCTGGAGTGTGTAACGCTTCAGGGTCAAACGAACGATCAAGCGGAAGCGGAATACACGGGTGTAAGGCAGCTGAAAAAATAGATCCACAATCAAGATGAATAGCGAAAACACGGATGGAAACCAGTTTGCTACGATTTTTATGTCAGAACATCAGTGAACACCACTGACCACTCGGTGAGTTTCATGGCTTTGAAAACGAACGTTTAGGGTGGTTTTAGGGACAGGTTCACACATGGCCATAGGCAGCAGTGTTAAGCCAGGCAGGGGAAGCCAAATTCTCCAAAAAGCAGTAATCGTCACAATTTTGGTCTTAACCACTCTATTTCATCATAAACAACCCAGAGATGGGGCTCAAAGTGCAAAATACTGAACCTCTCCTTTAATTCCCAAGAAAAATGACTGCAGTAGTCTCGGGTACCCAGCTCCAATCAGTGGATCCACACCCAAGTGGCTGTGCTAATTTCTGCCCCGTTTCCGGCATGATGCGATAACATGGCACAGCAAAATATCGTCTGCCTCTGTCCAACCAGCTCTTGAACATCATGCAAAATAAACACCAAGTGTAAAATAAAGACTGAATAAGGGAGAGATGTAATGTCATGCTGCTTTCTACTGTTTACTAACCTGTTTTCCAGCTTGTCCGTGATGTCAAATGTGACACCAAAGAAATAAATAACAGGATGGCATGCTTGTCTTCGGCAGAGCTGCTCACACAGCTCTGATTTTAGTGGGTTTTCCTGTAAAACCCAGCATACATGGTAATTATGGTGGAGAAAGGGTATCATTATGTTCAATCAATCTATTGGGGCTGTGCTTTGCCACTAACACTTACTTATTTAAGCCAAAATGTCAAAAGGAGTTAGATCGTATCAACTGTGAGAATTGGCTGCTTTAATCTTATGTCAGACTTCGCACTGTTGGTCTAACAGAACAAACACTGTGGCGGCAGAAGCTCAGTCCGTTGGGACTTGGGTTGGGAATTGGTGGGTCTCCAGCTAAAGTCCCCATCCTGACCAAGTATAGAGTGTGGGCTGGTAGCTTGAGAGGTGCCAGTTTGCCTCCTGGGCACTGCCAATGCGCTCTTGGGCAAGGCACCAAACCCCCAACTGCTCAGGGTGCCTGTCCATGGGTGCCTCGCTCTGACATCTTTCCATTCAATGCATGTTGGTCCTGTTTGTACGTGTGTGCGTATTATGGGCCTGTGTGTGTATGACAACACAGTGAAAAAGTTGAATTTCCTCTCAGGGATTAATAAAGTATATCCTTTTCTTCTTCTTTGAGGATGTCCATGGGCTTTAGGAATTTGTTAACTGCCTTTTTTTTGGATCAAACAATGAATTTATCAAGAAGACAATCATTTCATTAACTGATAGTCTTTCGTTTAATTCATCACCTGCCAGTATGCCAGTGTCTGTAAGTGTCTGACGGAGGTGAGCTGTAGGCCAGGTTCACAGGCTCTGATCTATTTTGCCTAGTATGAGGTCAGAGGAGTTATTTTAGCTGGGGTTGGGTTTGCATATCAGACCTGACCTCAGGGGTTAATGTGCCGTATGGCCTCCATTCCTTAAAAATAGGGCCTTCTTTACTACCCATCAGGCAGAGCTAAAAAGAAAGCTAAAGTTAAACCCCATCTCCATCATGTTTGTTATGATGGTGGACGTGATCAGCTGGATGTTTAGTGCAGGCTGTTGAGGGTAAATAACCTGAAATTAAATGTATTGCATGTCTAGTTCAGTGATCATAGGTCATTTCTGCACACCTTAAAATGAGTCATTGCCCCACTCTGTATTTAGTTATTCCTTAATTGTACTAATAATTTCTCTGTTTGGTTGACCGTATATTTATTGATTAGTTTTGCTGCTGAGGTCACCCACTATGCATAAGCAATATGAGACAGTGAGCAGCTTTGCAAATCAAAGGTGGAGGATCATAAATTTCTCTGTGCCTCAGATTAATAGTGCTGACAGTTATATAGTGAGGTGCAACTGTTTAAATAAAGCAACAAAGTACAGCTCCATCTGTAGCACCATTTTGGGTGATGAAATTACCGGTAAATAAAAACAGGAGTGATGACTCAGTCAAAATGCAAGTGTTAATAACCACACACCATCAACTTCACATCTAAATTAGCCGCCATTGTTTAACTATGGATGTAATACTTTTTTAAACGTCTCTTTTAATTTTAATTTCACTAAATCAGAGTTACTTTCTGTGTCTGTCTATGTCCATCAGGAGCTGATGTGAGCTGTATAGGATATTTTCTGAGAGCATCTCAAAGGAATCTGCTGAAACACTGAAGGAGATATTGGTAACAAGAATTTGAAAAGCAATAAAACTTTAGTAAACTGGGACCGTCTTTCTACCCGTGAATAATTGCGGTTGTAAATTTTGAGCAGCACGCATAATACTAATCTTCATAAGTCATAAAAGCTTTCGGATACAGATTGTATTGCTTTTTGGCCTGGATGTACGAGGACTGTCAGTCAGCAGGCCTTTCTGGAGTATATGGTAACTAACGGATAGCATAAGGTCCATCTGTAGCGCTGAGTAGCCTCTGGGGATTTAGTGGATATTGAATCACTGTACAACAGGACTGTGATGTGATTTTGTAACAGCACTGATACATTCATCTTCCATTAGTCTCATTTTTTAGCCATCTAAAAAAACAACTCCTGTTCTGTGGTTAGATATAAGCGTGTCCTTTATGAAGTCAGATCAGAAGACTGAAAAAAAAAGCATACAGGGAAACAATGAAGGCCCAGTGACCCAAGATACATAATGTTCCCTTATTCCTTGAGGACATTAAATGGCAAGGCAAGGCAAGTTTATTTGTATAGCACAATTCAACACAAGGTAATTCAAAGTGCTTTACAGAGACATTAAAAGCAACAAGATAAATGTAAAATCTCTGGAATTAAATAATGATAGAAATAGTCTCTTCTGTATTAGAAAAATCAACTTGTAAAATAATAGCTATCTTTTCAAGTCTT